AACAGCATGGATGGAACTGGAGAGTATTATGGTGAGATAAATTAGACCAGTCGGAGAAAGATAAATATCACATAATCTCACTCATTTGTGGACTATAATGAACAACATAAACTGATGAACAAAAATAGAGCCAGAGTCATAGAAGCATCAAACAGACTATCCAACCTAAGAGAGAATGCAAAGGAGGGGAGGAATAGGTAAAAGATCAACCAAAGGACTTGTATGAATGCACATTAGCTTAACCAATGGACATAGACAGGAGGGGGATTGAGGGCATGTGCTAGGGGGTGGGAACAACTGGGGAGAGGACAATGGGGAGAAAAGAAGACATATGTAATACTTTAAACAATAAAGAATTTAAATTAAAAAAAATTCTTAATATCTACATGGTATCTGGCACATAGTAGCTACTGAATAATTATTTGTTAAATGCCAATAATTGTCAAGAGATTTTTGGATAAGTTACATCTCTGCTGCAGAGGGCTCCTAAATTATTTGAATATCCCATTAATAAAATAAATTGGTTTTCCTAAATTATTTGAATATCCCATTAAGGTACAAAATCTTCATTTAATAGGTCATATCATTTCTATGTCAATATATTATGCTATAATTTGTAAGAGATTTTCTGGGCCTTTCAATTTTTTAAAAAAAATCCATCCCATGATTTATAGAAATAGTGATGAGGTATTTTACTTTTTTTAATATTTAATTTAGAAAATATAACTATCATATGTATGCCTCCTATTGGCAAAGTATATAATTTCACTGACAAGGCATCCACCTTATTCCTATAAACTTGGAAAACAATTCATAAAACTGCCACTAAAAGGAGACCTATGAATTACTATTTCAGAATTGAGTCTGGTCTTAATAAAGTATACAATCACAGTTAGATGAAAACTTAAAATCTATTTGTCTACATGAAAATGTTAAGACAAAGGGATATTTCTTAAGGAAAAATATTTCTCTGAAAACAGACAAGATAGGTTTTATTAAAAATTATGGTAATAAATACTGTGGAGTTTAAGGTTATATGTGAGAATCTATAAAAGGAAAGCAAAATTATAAATAAGGTAAATGCAAAGTGTGTGAACTGTAACTGATTTTTTCCAATTGGAAATAAGTTGTAACTGTAATAAAAGAAATACATGTTCTTTGTTTCTTTAAAAATTTAAAAATCAAAGAAAAACACATAAATGAAAGTAAAAATTACACATAAGATGAATAATCCCACCACCACAGATAACCATGGCTAACATTTTGTTTATATCCTTCCAATCATTTTTCCCAAAAGTACCTACATGTACTTTACATGATTGAATTCATAATCCGCTTTCACTTTAAAATATAGCATTATGCTCTTTATAAATATATCATAATCTATGTAATAATATCATCATCTTCTACTGGTGAATGCTTAAATTATCTCCAACTTTTCACTATTTGAAATGTAATGAAATGCCTAAAAAATATATGTTTTAATAATTTTTATAAATTCCCAGTTAATCTTCTGAACAATATAATAGACATTACTGCTCTAAGGATGAGATTGCTGAAATTTCTTGTAGAAAAAAAACTACAGGAGCCTGAAACAAAGTAAAGCAGAGATCTTCTGCAGAACATTTTACTTAGACATTCCAGAGGGAGATGGATTTCAGCAGAAGAGCAATGTAGAGAGATGCAAACAGAGGCACATGTAATCCCCACTTCACTGTAAAGGAGAAGATGTATCTAGAGGCAGTAAGGATTTCAAGGGAAAGGGTGGAATGATAGGCATGTCTCTATTGTTATAAAGAAAATGTTGATTAATTTTTAAGCTTCTTAACACATAATTGATAAAATATTGCACATATTTTATTTACATATCTTGATGAGTCTGGATGTATGTTTACACCCATGATACCATCATGAAGGTATTAAACATATCCATCACCTAAAAAATTTTCTTTCTGGCTTTAACCAGTTTGGCTCAGTGGATAGAGCATCGGCCTGCAGACTCAAGAGTCCTGGGTTCGATTCTGGTCAAGGGCATGTACCTTGGTTGTGGGCATATCCCCAGAAGGGTGTGTGTGCAGGAGGTAGTTCATTGATGTTTCTCTCTCATTGATGTTTCTAACTCTCTCTCCATCTCCCTTCCTCTCTGTAAAAAATCAATAAAATATATATATATATTTTTTTTTTAATTTCTTCCTGCTTTCTTGTGAGGGCTTTTTGTTGTTTTGTTTTTGTGATAAGAAAACTTAACATGAAATCAAACGTCTTAACTTATAGTAAAGTGAACAATACCATATTATGAATTACAGGTACTATGTTACACAGCAGATCTCTAGAAAGTATTCACTTGCATAACTAAAACTACCCTCCTAGAGTAACATGTCACCCCCTCCTGCCCCTGACAAACACCATTCTATTCTCTGCTTCTCTGTGTCTAACAGAGAACATAGATAAGTGGAAACATGCAGAATGTGTCCTTCTCTACCTGGTTTATTTCACTTAGCATAATGTCCTCTAGATTCATCCATGTGGCAGGATTTTTTTTAAGACACAATAATATTCCTTTGTGTGTATGTACCAAATTTTATTTATCCATTCATCTGTTGATAGGCATTTGAGTTGTCTCTAAATTTTGGTTATCCTATATAATAAAAGTATAATATGCAAATCGACCAAATGGCAAAGACCAGTCAACAGGGGGTGGGACTGGTGAAAAGGTGGTGCCAGGCCAGCCAAGGCATGTGCCAGTGGGTAGAGGGAGAGAACAGCAATGGCGGATGGGCGATGTGAGGGTCAGCACCTTCCCCTGATCGGCCCGTCCAGTCTCCTCCTGCAGAGGAAAGCCAGGTGGCAGCGGAGGAGTGATGGGGGTGACACAGTCCCCTGATCGCCCATCCAGTCACCTCCTGCAGAGGAAGGCCAAGCGGCAGTGGCGGGTGATGGGGGCAGTGCCATCCCAACTGGCCAGCCCAGCCTCCTGCAGAGGAAAACCAGATGCAGCTGAGGTCTGCTTCCCTCAGGGATCAGGCCTAAGCGGTCAGTAGGATCCTCTGAGGACTCCCAGACTGAGAGAGGGCACAGGCCGGGCTGAGGGACCCCCCTCCAGTGCATGATTTTCATGCACCGGGCCTCTAGTTGTGAATAATATTGTAATGAGCATGGAGGTGTAGATATCTCTTTGATATCCTGATGTCAACTCTTGGCTATATACCAAGAAGTGGGATTGCTGAATCATCTGGCAGACTAATTTTTTATTTTATGAAACAAAACAAAAAATGAAGAAGAGAAAAATAGAGTTTCAAGGACAACTAAAATAAGAATGCACTTGAACAGGTAAATGAGACATACTCTCAGGGGGAAAACCACATCACAGAAGAGGGAAATAAAAAGTTGAAAAAGGAAAAATTAAAATTTCAAAGCAATAAATTCATGGAAAATTGATTGCAGTGTCTGAAGATATACCCTTGTTATATTTGGTGAAAAGATTAAAACCATAACTACAGGCATGGACAATGTGGCTCAGTTGGTTGGGTGTCATCCTGTGCACCTGGGCATTGCTGATTTGCTTCCTGGTCAGGGCACAAGCCTGGGTTGCGAGCTCAATTCCTGGTAGAGAGCATGCAGGAAGCAGCCAAATAGATATTACACTCTTACATTTATGTTTTTCTCTCTCCTTCCCTCTCCCTTCGTCACTCTCTAAAAATAAATTTTCTTAAAAACCATAACAATATAATCATATTCTGAGAAGAAAAAAAAGATCAGTCAATGTCAAATAAACCTGTGTAAAGGCCTCTTGTGAAGTGTTGATTGTAAATGTGTCAGATTTTGCTTGTTTCTATAGGAGGACCATAAGCACACAGGGCTTCTTTCTTGAAGAAGAAATAAAACTAAGGATACATCTATAATGATAAAAGCATAATATGCTAATTAGACTGGACGTCCTTTTGGACAACCTTCCAGACGAAGCCACGGCTGTGAGGGCTGAGCCCCTTGCATGAAATTCATGCATCAGGCCTCTAATAAAAAATAAAAACACTTGTATCTGGGTGAAACTGAAAACTACAGAGCAAAGAATATATGAAATTTTAAAAGCCATGGGAGCTTTCTTACACATATAACCACCCCCAGCCACTTCCAAACTGATCAAAATAAAACAGCCTGTACTCTCTCTGTGAACCTCATCAAAGAAAACGCCCTCACATGAAATCACTGAAACCATCAGGTAGAGAAAATATACAATGGAATTAAGTGGAGAAAACCTTTAGGTGTCTGACCTAACATCTTTTACTGCATCTTTCTTCCAAGGTCTTCAGAAGAATAAAATCTTCCTAAACAATGACAGTTCAGAACACCTCTCGGAATTGTCTATGAAGTGACAACTCTACCCATCATTTGGAAACAAGAGAGAGTTGGACTCAAAAGCTCTGACGGCAGTAATGGGACATAAATTGAAGCATATTCTACAAGGAGGGCTTCTCGGGTGTATTCCAGCTATTTTGAAGAAACAATGCTGCAATTGTTCTTGCGCCCAGAAATAATCTTATTGAAGGTGAAGTTTTCCTGTGTCAGACAGCTCTTCACAAAAATGAAGCATTTTTCCCTTCAAGTACCTCCAAGGCAAGATAGTGAGATTCAGGCTGGGCTGCCAGAGTGACTACAATAGACCTCAAAGAGAAAGCATCTATTACAGTTTTCTTTCAGCCAAACCTTTATAATCCCAAACACGTTGTAAAGAATTTTTTTTTTAGACTCTTGCAAACAATTTCAGCAATAACTAAACTTCCACTTTGCCAAACCTGCTTGGACAGGTATATCAAAACTATGCAGAAAATAACCAGGCGGCTGGCAATAGTCTGACCACCTGCCAGCATTTCAGTATTTTTTTTTTTAATTATCAGTTTCCTCCTCTTGTTACTATCATATTAGTCAGTGAAGAAAGATCTTATTATTCTCTCTCTCTTTTTTTTCTTCTTGGGACACACACCAAAAAAAAAGGTTTCAGAGGCTGCCTTTCCGCCCCCATCGCACCTGCCTGTGATGCCCAGGGCGGTCAGGCTGCAGCGCCAGGGCACATGCTTGCACATTACTGGGGCCAACTGCTCCCACAGCAGCATTCCTTTTAACTGTGAGCAACATAGCTGGCACTGCTCTGGGATGGGTGGTTGTCTGGGGTTTGTAACTACCTAATCCTTAAACTATGCCCTAGGGCAGGGGTCGGCAAACTACGGCTCGAGAGCCACATGCGGCTCTTTGGTCCCCTGAGTGTGCCTCTTCCACAAAATACCATGGCCTGGGCGAGTCTACTTGGAAAAAGTGGCGTTAGAAGAAGTTTAAGTTTAAAAAACTTGAGTCTCAAAAGAAATTGCAATCGTTGTACTGATGATAAGGTCTATTTTATTTTAGTCTCCACTCACCTCCACGCTCTCCCATACACATTGAGCTTTGGAACAACCTTTGCCCAGCATTGCTATCAGACACTCCAGACTTATCAGAGCTCAAATATGAGAGCAGAACTCAAATCCTACAAGGTTGAGGCACTGATGAAAATATATGGGCTATTGTGTAGCCGACTCCCATTGGTTCTTCCACTAGCCAGTCCAAAAACACTAAACTCCAACCCTAAGGGATTCCTACTCCTTAACTTAAGGGTTCACGAGGAGGAGAGAGCACTGAAGAGTTAGCAAACAACAGTTCTGTGGTACCTGCAGCTCTCCACAGGAAGCCCCTCTTTTCTCTATGACCAAGCACACTAGGAAAGTCACAGGTCGGTACCTGCTGCTGACCCTTCCTACCAGACAGGGTAACTGATAACCGAGGAGAATACAGCAGCTCACAGGCCATAAAACTGGAAAAGAAGAGCAATGTAAATGCAATAAGAAACAAAAACTAAATATATGTTCTCTACATTATCAAAACAAATGGACCAGGAACTTAAAATACATACAATAATTATCCTCAAAGACAAGATGGAGAATGGTAGTAACATGAAAGAGGAATGAGAATACCAAGTCCCAAGTAAAGGTCAAGTGGAGTCAAGCTACTATAAAATAACTGCATTCTTTTGGAAAGAAAAAAGTACTAATTTCAAGTAAACTTTATCAAATCAAGGATAAATATTGCAGTCAACTGAATATGTACTGAAAATGAGAAAGGAATAGGAATAACAAAAATACTTGATAAATCCAAAGTTATACAAGCAAGCGGAGAAAAAGAAACAAAGAGAAAGAGGAAATAGAGATAAAGCAAGATTATAGACTTGGTAATAATTGCAGTAATAACTGTAACTAAATTAAATGTTAATGAAATAAACATTCTATAAAAGAAAAAGATTTTCAGATTGGATAGATATAAAAAACCCTACTATATGCTGTCCACAAGGTATGTTTTCTTTTTAGATTTTTTAATTGATTTTTTTCTTAAGAGAGAGAAAGGGAGAGAGAGAGAGAGATAAACTTCAATGTGAGAGCAAAACTGACTCAGCTGCCCCCTGCACACCTCCTACTGGGGATCAAGCCTGCAACTGGGACATGTGCCCTGACCAGAAATGGAACCGGCAACCTTTCAGTACATGGGATGACACCCAACCAATTCAACCACACTGGCTAGGGCAATAATGTATGTTTTAAAGGACCAAAAACGATTTAAAATAAAGAAATGAGGAAAGATATATTATAATAACATTAACTAAAATAATGCTGGTGTAAACATATTAATATCAGACAAAGAAGAATGTTAAGCAAGAAATGTCACTTAAATAAATAAAGACATCTCTTAAGGACAGAAACGTCATAACAGAGTTTAACTGAACTTAATCAGAGTAAGTTTATTTTTTATATATTACTAATTTCTAATATTTTCTTTAGAGCTTGTAACATATATACAAAGCCAGATGAGAAATTAGGCTGTTGAATGGGGTTTTTCTTCATATTTTTATTTCTTTATGTTTTGTTTTTGTTGACTAGTCAAGCTTCATAAGGCTATATAAACAGGAGGGCTTGTAGGAACCTTCTCTAAAGTACTAACAAGCACCAATATAATGAAAGCTAGCATTAAGCTCCTTGGGTTGCGTGGCATGGCAAAGAATGTTACATGTACTATCTCAACTGAGGGAAATTCTGCTGCTCAGACCTGGAAAGTAAAACTGAGTTGAGCTTTACACTCTATTCCTGACTAATTGTTTTTTTATTTTTAATCCACGATTCTAAAGGTGCTACAGGCATTCCTTTCTTGTTTTCCTTAAAAATGTGCATGAGTTATAGCTATACATCAGGCCATTTACAGGAATAAAATATCAGCAAAACAGTAAAATGTGATGATTCCAATAATAACGATAAACATAAATATTTTTCTGAGTTATCAATAAGCAGAATTATCAAGATACTAGGAAATTGCTGGGCCAATGTGGTTCAGTGGTTGAGCATCAATCTATGAACTAGGAAGTCATGGTTCAATTCCCAATCAGGTCATACGCCTGGCTTGCGAGCTAGATCCCCAGGAGGCAGCCAACCAATGGTTCTCTTCTCAACATTGATGTTTCTCTTTCTCCCTCTCCCTTCCTCTCTGAAATCAATAAAAATATTTTTTAAATAAATAAATGAGTTAAAAAGAAAAGATAATGGGAAATCTCATTGCCTTCATTAATAATCTTGAAAGGATAAAGGAGAACTACTTATCTGACCCAAAGGATTATTTCAAAGGATTTTACAATATTAACTAAAAAAAATTCTTTTAATTAAAATCTTTCTTTTGAAAAATATACATTAAACCAGTGGTTTGTAATTGCATGCTTATCAGGCTTGTGAAAACAGATTCTGGGCTCCTCCAAGGAGTTTTTGAATCAGCAGGTCTGAAGTCAGGCAAATAATTTGCATTTCTCATGAATTTCCAGGAAATGATGATGATGCTGGTTCCAGGACCAAACTTTGAAAGAGCAGCCACTTCACGCAAATGAATGGACCCTCCTAGGAATTCTCTAATCTCCAGTATCTGAGTAATTCTTTGTTTTTTCCTACTCTAACACAGGAATTAGTTTAACTTGAATGAGATTTCTTCCACATGAAAAGTTAACAAACACTTAATTGGATATTTTCCATAAAACGATTCTTGGGACTGACCCAATTCCCAGAGACCCTCCATGTGTCTCAAATCATGCCTGCTCAGGGACCTGCGGCGCTTAAATACAGTGGTGCTCCACAATCCTCCTTCAAGATTCTAGAGTCCCAGAAGGTGAACTTTATTGTGGTGTTTGCTCTTTCAAATCTGTTCACATCACTGCATTTTATGTAACTCCTTATTCCCATGAGCACTGAATCCCATTAAAGCAGAAAAACACTGCAATTGAAACTACCCAGCAAAGCCAGGAGTATCCATGAGACACTAATACTTGTATTCTGCTTTTTTATCTGATGCGTAGCGTGTCTAACTTACAACAGGGAATAGATGTAAACAAAAATCTTACTAAGAGCAACAATAAGTTGGAAAGGAAACCAAGTGGGACATTAAGACACAGTATCTTTAGTTAGGATGGCACACAACGCAGCAGAACAGAAAGAAATGAGTCCCTCCAGAGATGTGTCTGGTAGGACATGTGCTATACAAAAAAAGTGTGCACGAGAACAGGTCAGAGAGAACAATCAGCAAGTCTCCCAGATCACTAGGGGAAAATCAGTATCACAGCACTGACCAGGATGGATTAAATATGTTTTAAAGATCTGCTGTACAACACTGTACCTAGAGTCAACAATATTATATTGTACACTTAATAACTTGGCAAGAGGGTATATCTCATGTTCAGTGTGCCTACCAAAATAAAATAAAATAAAATAAAATAAAATAAAATAAAGCAAAATAAAATAAAATGTAAATGTGTGTGCACATATAAAGACGAGACAATCTCAAACATCACAAATTGTTTCATAGATGAGATCCTGTCAGTGGCAGATGTAGTTGTTTCACTAACTCAGGGTTTGTGTTCTGCAGATCTGATAGGGTAGAGAATGAGGATGGAAGACAAGATACCATGTGAATTAAGATCGCTGTGGGGAGAATCTGTAAGGAGGATATATGTGGCTAAATGTGTGCGTTATAGGGTAGATCCTCTGCACATACACACAGTGACTACATTATTTAAATTCAAGTTGTCTTACTTCTCAGCACCTTTGAAATGATACAAACCCTTATATATTATTTATTATCCCAGTTTCTCCAATTCCACGCATTTTTTTTCAGGTACTTAATTACATACAATCGCCTATGATTGTTTAAAAGGCACTTGTGTGACTTGTTTGAAATAAACTAAATTATAGTCAAGTTGTTTGTATATATGTACAACATCTGAGTGAGATGAGAAAATATTTTCAAAATAAATAGGTATAACAAATAATCATTTTACTTGCAGTACAAGTTACTTACATAAAGAAGATACAAAGTACCACTTGCAAAAGAATGGAGATAAAGGTTTTTGCCCCCTCAATATTATTTTAAAAAGTAAATTAGAAAATTTGTTATTTTGACAATATTAAAACCAAGAAAAATCTTGATTTGGTTAAATTACTATCAGTAATGGGCTTTAGAAACTATATTATGTGCATCATAAAAATAGGTAAAATTCACAAGGAAAATGTTTTAAATCAAGTTATAAAAATGGCCATTTAACACAAAATTAAAATACTCCTGTTTTTTGTGACTGTATCTGAACAAGTCTAAAACTTTTATATCAGCTCTAAACAATAGCCAGATTTGATGTGATTATGCCACCATGTCTTCAAATCCTTAGTGACAGAAAATACAACTTTTTCACATACCATCTTTTTGTCTGTCATAGGCAACTCATATTTCCCCAATCACACACAAATTTTCAAACAGGACTGAGAACACATTGAACAACCCTCATCTACCCAGCTTTAATACAAATTAACATATGCTCACTCTCAATTCATCTACTGACCCACATATCTTTGAATCTATACTAATAAAAAAGTAAGATGCAAATTAACCATACCATAGTGATGCCTACCAACCAATCATGAGTGGGTATGCAAATTAACTCAACAAAGATGGTGGGTTAATTTGCATAAACCAGCACCCAGGGCAGAGCATTTGCATCATCACCATGGCAACAACACAGGTGTTCTGCACT